TTAGCAAGTAAAATCTAAAAATGTATAAAAAAGGCTCTCTATCCAGGAATTCAAGGTTGGCTTGAACTTAGAAAATCTACTAATATAATTGTATATGTTACCAGATTAAAGTGTGACTTGTAGATTTAAATTTTTATTTATTGGAAACATTAATTTATTCAAGAATATCTTAAAAAGCTTGAATAAACAATTTTGGGGGTGCCTGGGTTGCTCAGTCAGTTGGGCATCCAACTCTTGATCTCAGCTCATGTCTTGATCTCAGGGTCGTGAGTTCAAGCCCCACACTGGGCTCTTTGCTGGGCATGGAACCTACTTAAAAAAAAAAAAAGTTTGTATTTTTAAAAAGATACTATTTTCATAGCAACTAAAAATATAAAAAACTCAAAAATCTCATAATTGTGTATAAGGCCTTAATAGAGAAAATTATAAGACCTTATTCAAAGGTATTTTAAAAGACCTCAATAAATGGAGCTATATACTTTCTCATGAATGGGAAGAATTAGTGTCATTTAAAAATAACAAAATTGGTTTTTCATTAAACATGACAGCCTGATTCTAAAATGTTCAGGAATTGCAAGGGGGTGGGGGAAGGGGATGACTCTAAGGCAGTTCTGAAGGAGAACCTGGCAGGAGGATTTGCCTTACATGATGGAGCCATATCAGAAAGCTGTCGTAATTAGGACAATGAGGTTTTAATAGAAATAGACAAACAGACTAATGAAGACACCAAAGAGAGGCCAGAAACATATCTACACATGTCTGCAGATGGGGCACATCACAGAGACCCACACGTTACCTAGTAAAAAAAGAAAAAAAAAAATGTCCCCACTGAAAAATGAGGCAGGGATAAGTTTTATTCTTATGGGAAAAATGAATTTTATCACACAAAAATCAACTACAGATGCATTGGAAACTTAAATGATAATTTCTGCTCATCAAAATACACCTTAAAGAGAGGGAAAAGAGAAGGTACAAAACAGAAACTGATATCTGTAACATATTTGACAAAGACCCCTAGGTCCAGAATATATCAAGAAATTCTAGGGGCGCCTGGGTAACTCAGTCGTTAAACGTCTGCCTTTGGCTCAGGTCATGATCCCAGGGTCCTGGGATCGAGCCCCACATCGGGCTCCCTGCTCAGTAGGAAGCCTGCTTCTCCCTCTCCCACTCCCCCTGTTTGTGTTCCTTCTCTCCCTGTGTCTCTCTCTGTCAAATAGATAAAATCTTAAGAAAGTCTTAAAAAAAATTCTAAGAATTAGAGGTGCCTGGGTGGCTCAGTTGTTGGGCATCTGCCTTCAGGGCCTGGGATCAAGCCCCACATCGGGCTCTCTGCTCAGTGAAGAGCCTGCTTCTCCCTCTCCCTCTGCTGCCCCCCCCTGCTTGTGCTCACTCTGTGTCTGTCCCTCGCTCTGTGTCAAATAAATAAATAAAATCTTAAAAAAAAATTCTAAGAATTAATAAGGAAAAGACAATTCAGAAGGAAAAGACAATTCAGTAGGAAAAAAATGGGGAAAAGACATGAAGAGGCATTCTCAAAAGAAGAAAGCTGCACAGTGAATAAATCTTTGAAAAGAATGTAAATTGGTACAGCAACTTTGGAAATCAGCTTGGCATTATCTAACAAAGTTGAAAATGGGCATATATCCTGTGACCTTGCATGGAGCATGTACCCTCCCCTCCTGGTGTGCCCACTAAAGTTACTTTTGCCCATGTGCACCACAAGACATATACAAGAATATTCTTAGCAATACTGTTTGTAGTGGAGGGCAGAGGAAATAAAAGCCTAATGTTTATCAACCAAAGAATAGTTAAATCATGTTCTAGTTTACACAATGCAGCAGTGGAAAACAGTGGATGAATCTCACAGTTGTAATGTTGAGTGTGAAAAAAATAACAGAAAAATACATACCATACCCTTTCACTTATATGAGGTTTAAAAGTATGCAGACCTATACAGTATATTGCTTGGTGGTGCATATATATTGGTAAATCTATAGGTAAAGAAAGGATAAACACAAAATTCAGGGTAGTGATTGCTTCCGTGAAGGCGGGGGGGGGGGATGTGGTGAGGGCTGTTGAGCACCCCTCACTTCTGAGGAGTTTGCCTGGAATAGTTTGACAGCCAGCCTACCGACTAACACTTTCACCAGAGGAATATTTTTTCATAGAGTACTTCTGGGATGGGGCAGTGCAGAAAATGAGAAAACCTATTTGAAATGGGGCGCTTTTCCCCTGTTAAAAGCCTGACTAGAAGGAGGAGTGTGGTGGTTGGTGAGATCACCTCATCATCCCTGTGTCTTGTTCAGTGCAGTTATATCAATACCATTGGATTGAGTTCAGAAGCATTTCTTAAACCCCAGCCATGTGGTGGGCTCTCTCTTAGGTAGCGGGACATAAAGATAAATAAAAAATGCCAAGATAAGTAGTGGGCGGGGTGAAACAAGGCAGACAGGTGAATTGGCAAAGGAACGTCCTGGGTGGGTTTCTGACAAGGAGTCCTTCGGTCCAGTTGGGACAAGTGGTGAGGTCAGGAGAGGTTTCTGGGAGGAGATCATGCCTCTTGAAGCTTAGTCTTGAAGGAAGAGTTGCAGTTGGTCATAGGTGGAAGGGAGGACTCATTCCAAGTAGAAGGAGCTCCATCAACAGAGGTACACAGAATATGCTATTCTGGAGCCCAGACCTGGAGTTGGGGCCTAGAGAGAGGAGGCAGGAGTGCTGAGCAGGGTTCCACACCCTGCAGACACGGGAGCCTGTAGGGTGCATTTAGGCAGGAAATGACGGGACCGGTGCCTTAGAATCTCCATCCCTGACAAGATGAGCAGAGAGGCTGGTTAGAAGGCTGTGGCAGGGGGTCCAGGTGAAGTCGAGGAGGTAGGGAAGGATGGTAGAGATGGAGGGGAGGAGGTGGATCAAGAAATGTTCAAGATGCAAGATTGGCAGGACATGGTGGTTGGCTGGCCGTAGGGATTGAAGAAGAGGAAGGCTGGGATGACAAAGCAGAGAGGGTTAACACAGCTAGCTCTGTAAGACCAAACAGCATCCTCCACCCCTCCCAGGATCTGTCAGCATGGAATGAATCCAAGTTCGATTTCCTCTTGCCTTTCTAGTGATTTGTAACATTAATTTGCAGATGCAACACATGGCCCTCAGAACATTTATGGCACTGTGATTCTGTCACATTCATGCTAAAGCTCAGTAGCAGCATAACAAAAATATGTCTTTGTTACTAAAATACTCTTCCTTGAGAAAATTCAATTTCCAATTTAACGCTCCCAAGGTTAGCTCATAGAAAAGGCATTAGATGATCACTATAATTATAACATCGTGCCCAGAAGGCTGACCTGATTAGGTCTTGAGGTTTCCTTTGTTGCTTGTAATAAGTGCTTTTTGTAATTTTATTGTTTAAACAAGTTTAACGTATTTTATTTTTAATTGTAGTGGGGAATTGTGTTTCATGCACATTGTATTTATTTAATGGAATGTGTTTTCAAAAGCAAGACAGAATATTTCTGATACAGGCTTGATTCTCAGTGATCTCCATCACTTTTGTGGCCAGGATGCTAAATGTAGGTCACATTAGGTTTGTCCCATCCCTTGGCTCAGAGGGTTATAGACTTCAGGACAGAGAAGATCCTGCAGTTTTCTAACTGGTCTGGTCAAGTACAGATCTACCTCCCCCACCAACACATGCACAAACATTCTCACTCAAAGTAGCTGATAGGTGGGGAAAAAAATGGAGTTGCCTCATTATTTGCTGCCCACTGATGCCTAAGAAGTGGTTTGGCTGGGGGCGTCTGGGTGGCTCAGTTGGTTAAGCGACTGCCTTTGGCTCAGGTCATGATCCTGGAGTCCCGGGATCGAATCCCGCATCGGGCTCCCTGCTCCTCGGGGAGTCTGCTTCTCCCTCTGACCCTCCCCCTCTCATGCTCTCTATCATTCTTTCTCTCTCAATAAAAAAAAAAAAGTGGGTCAGCTGAGAAGATGCCTCAAAAAAGTTTAGTCAAACCACCAATTAACTCAGTTGAATAACCTGATGTTCAGGTTTTTTTCCACTTCTGAATTAGTCTTTTAATAGAATTAGCCACACAGCATTTTTAACCATTGCTTAAATAATAATAGAAAAAGTTCAAATGAAACTCTTTTATGTAATAGTTATCCCCTAAGACTTACGAGTGCTTCTGAGCCTCAGTTATTGTCACCACTAAATCTTCAGTGCCCGCTAACCAGCAAACCCCTAAAATAGCTTTAAAATTAGAGTTCTCCATGATGTCGTTCATAACCACCACAGCAGTTGCTTTCTCTCTCTCCTTCACAGCATTCTGCTACCGAGATTATAAACAAATGTCTCCATTTCGGGCATGCATCAGAGCTTTTGTTAAAAATGAAATGGAAGTCCCGGCTTTCTTATCCCCTGGTGACCAGCCCGCCGAGATGATCCCTCTGGCTGAGTCTTCACAGGGTGTGGGAATTTGTTCATCCGATTTCTTCATCTGACCCTCTCTGGCCCGCATCTCTACTCTCTGGCCAGCTCAAATCCAGAGTCTTAGTCAAAAGAAGCAGTGTGGTTCCCACGTCAGGCCAAACGCTAAGGCGCTCGTGAAGAACCAGCCACCGCTTCCATGTTTACATTGGTCCCGATGTCTACCTGGTCCTGTGTTCAAATCCTGACTCCCTTACATACTAGTTCTAGGGCCCTGGGCAAATCACTTGAACTCTCTGAACTTCACTTGTCTTTTCGGGATGAAAGGGATAATAATAGGGTTGCTGTGAAGGTAGAATTCGAGAGTTTGCATAAAGCACAGTGGCAAACTGAACAAACATGCAGTAAATGTTAGCTAGTAGCATTAATACTGAGCAGATTGAGACTTTCGCCTTTTGAAGTATTTTAACTTTTAAGGTAACACATATCAATCTATTATCAAAAATTCATGGAATCAGAATTCTACGTTTCAGAGGGGTGCCATTTAAAAAAATTTTTGTTAATGTTTTTCTTCTTTTAGGCCAATTGTATCTGAGAGAAATGAACTTCTCGTTCAGTTTTTATCAGACTTAAGTTTAACTGCAGATGGGTTTATTGGTCACTACAAATTCAGGCCAAAAAAATTGCCTACAACTTCAGCACCACCTGTTACCACCACATTCCCTGTAACCACAGGTGAGTCTTTCTGTTTTGATGTTTGTGCACAAACTTCAGGAGTGTAAGAAAAATTCTTTTGAAGTAGGAAAAAAAATTAAAACAAAGATACTTGAAACTAAAATAAGTTAAATAAGATGAAAACTTATCTAAGAATATAATACGACTCCCATTAATGAAAGAAAAGTATAAGGTGTAAAAAATGTTTATAAGCAAATAATTTTTAAGTATCATCTAAGAAAATTATGACCACTTAAAAAATACTAGGAACCCTGGTATAGGCACAGATCATTATAAGCCCAATTTTTCTTTTCTGTACTTATAAAAATTATGGCTTTCCTTTTATTACATAGAATTGTAGTATTTTAGATTGAAGTTCTAGGGCCTCGATACTTGTCCATTTTCACATCTGCCAGTTTTTTGGGTTTTGTTTTTGTTTTGTTTTGCTCTGAAATGGGTTGTGCAAATACATTTTTTTCCCCAAATTGGGGTAAATCAAACAAAAATATTCAATGTGTTATAGAAGCCAGTTGGGAAACTGTGGTCTGGGGCATGACCTAAGAAATGGAGAGGCAAGAGTGCAGCCCCATGCCAAGTCTCTACATCTTGTCAGCTCCACCCACTGAGCGTTCAGGCATCAGATCTCAAAATCTAAATCTGGGAGAATTTAGAAAAAAGTGGGAATGAAGGATCTGAAGTTAAGATACAAGACAGGTTGAAAATGAGCCCAGCTTTATTGCCCACCATTTTCTGCCTGCACTCAAAGTAGGCCTGACCTGAGTGCAGGCCCTTCCAGAAAGGGCTGATTTTTCTGAGCACTCCACAAGTGTGCCACCTTGTGGCCTAGACATGTACTGCCTAATATTAAAGCACTATTTCTTATTTCTCCAGCTCATCTCAGGGGACCCTGATGTCCTTATTCTTTCCAGTGAATTAACTGGCTCCCTAGATTTTTATCTTCAGTCCTAAACTTTCTCTGAAATTGCAAACATCGATTTATAATTATCTCCTAAGGTTTTGCGACTGCTAACCACTTAAATTAAAACATACCAAACTCAACTCATTTTTATCCCACTATTGTCTGCCTTAAATCTGCTGCTTCACTGCTTTCCCAAGCATGGTGCACAGCATTAGTAGATCATCCTTGAGCTCCCCTACGTTACCTCCCCACTGTATGCCCCCCTCCACACACACAAAGCAGACCATGTCTCCCACTTGAATTCATTGTCTACACCTGTGCTATCCAATACCGTAGCCACTAGTGGACACTTGAAATGTGACTAGTGATGCGGAGGACTTGAATTTTAATTTAATTAAATGTAAGAAGCCTCATGTGCCTAGTGGCTACCATGATGGGCAGCACAGGAGTCAAACCCTTCATGCCGTGTAGAAGACCCTTCACATGTCGTACCCAGCCTCTCTTTCTAGCTCTATCTTTAGGTCCTACCACCTCTCTCCTTATGCTTCTAAGTATTTTAGAATATTAGGATTCTATCCTAAGTGTGGGGGAAACTGTCGATGGATTTAGGCAAAGTTCAGGATTAGATTCTCACTTCGTGTGGAGGTCACTCTGGTCACTGTGAGGTGAATGGATGGGTCAAGAGGTCACAGGCGCTTGTGGTTGTCCGGGTAAACCGTGCGATGACAAATACAGAGAGAGTCAAGAAATGAGGACTGTAGTGCAAGCCAGGGGCCTTGGGAGATACTGACAGGTCTTTCATTGGTGATTAATTGTACTAGGGAGATCAGGGGGGATGCTTGGCTTGCACAGTTCTGGGGATGATGAGACCATTCACTGAAGCAGAGAACCGGGTCTAGGGGTAGAGTTGTTAGTTAAGCTGTGGCTCATTGGGTTTGAGGTGTCTGTGAGACACTCAAGTGGACTAGTCAAGTCCAGTTTGATCTATGGCCTCCTCCAGAAGAGATTTCAGCAAGAGATTTACATTTGAGAATCATCAGCATATACCTGGTTGATGCCGTGATCCAGAATGAGGTCACCTAAGGAGGGGTTAGGGGAGAAAGGAGAAGGGCTGGAATTCAATCTCTAGAAACTCCAACTTTTTTTTTAAAAAGATTTTATTTATTTGAGAGAGAATGAGAGACAGAGAGCATGAGAGGGAAGAGGGTCAGAGGGAGAAGCAGACTCCCTGCTGAGCAGGGAGCCCGATGCGGGACTCGATCCCGGGACTCCAGGATCATGACCTGAGCCGAAGGCAGTCGCTGAACCAACTGAGCCACCCAGGCGCCCTAGAAACTCCAACTTTTTAAAAAGGAGGATATACTGGCAAAGGAGACTAAAAAGATAAGAGCTTGAAGGAGAGACAGCTATGTTGGATGTTAGGATGTCTAAATTTGAGAGCTTGGTGTTGAAGGACGAGCAGGAAGACATGTGAGCCTGGGACTGAGTGATGGAAACAGGGCAGAGGGAACGTCTGGGAGGGATGGAGCCACGGCACTGAGAGTGGTGGGGAGACCCGCCAAGATGGGCACAGGTGCATCTGGAGAGGAAGGGCCGGGGACCACCTGCCACACAGGGAGTGCAGGGAGAGAGCAGACAGTGAGGTGAGAAGGCTCAGGGTGCTCTAATGACCTAAAACCAAGAGAGCAGGGATCTACCGACGGGAGGGAAGGAGCAGGGTGGGTCACGCACCCAGTTTCCAGACTGATGTTCCGAGGTTGAGAAGAGCCGTTTCCAGTGCCCACGGAAAGGATGCTCTTTCATCAGACACGGAGAACCACTAATGCCGCTACTTTCTGACTCAGTTCATTAGGTAAATTTAGGTCCCCAACTTCTGGAACAATGTTCCCTCTAAATGTTCTCTGAGCTCTTTGTCTTTAAAAAAAAAATTTATACACACACACAGATGCTATTATATGTATTTTAACATTAAGTTGTACATATTTTAATATTGTGATCCACTTGAGATCCTTTTTTGGAGTTAAGTATGGGTACAAATTAAGACTAAATAAATAATAAATTCACGGAAGAGTTCACAAAACATATCAGAAGGGCAGTGTTACAACTGCAAATTCTTGCCCGGCGAGTACAGTTCTGTTACAGTTGTTGTTTGGTTCTTCCTAGCATATTGCCACATATAAGTGAATAATTAGCAAATATTTTGGAAACTTTTTTTTATTGATGGTAATGGGAATTAAATACTTTCACTTCGTTAACCCCCAGTTTCTCAACCTTGGCAGCATTTACATTTTGGGCCAGATAATGCTTTGCTGTGGGGAGCTGTTCCTTGTAGGATGTTTAGCAGCATCACTGGTATCTACCCACTGGATGCCAGCAGCGGCCCTTGTCGTGACAGCCACAACTATTTCCGGGCCGGGCAAAACGTCACCCGAGGGCGAAGATCACCTTTGCTGGAGAACTACTGTGTTTACCTATTTCATTTTGTTTTTAAATTTGTCAACTTCTCAGTTCTTAAGATCCTTATAGGCAATGACGGGCTCAAAATAAATGTTTAGTGATCGGTTACATCTAATTACAGGTATAACACACTTTACACATGAGCAGTGTTTCTCCAAACTTATACCATTCACATTTGGGCAGCTGTGTATTTTAAATGCACCAAGAAAGCTCCCTCTAGCCTCAGGGGGAACACCATTGGATGCCTTTTGTAAAGTGAAGAATTAACCTGTATTTTCTGAGTTCATATTTGTTGTACTGGGTTCTTCTAAGCAGGACGCATGGAGACTGCATCTGTTTTTGGTGTTAGTTATATATAAAGGAAGGAGAGAATAGGGCTAAATTTGGGTTATCTTTGATCTCAGGTTTAAAATTCAGCAGAGGGTATTGAGTTACCCTGAGGAAATTAGAGCAGTAGTTAGTAGCATAAAGAATTTCTTTTGAATGTTTTCTAATTATTTCATTGCAATGACAGCTTGGTGGCTCAGGGAAATAAATAGGAATTTTAAATAGATGGATTCAGGTCTAAACACCAATTATACTTGAATTCATTTTCCTGAATCTTATGTCTTCCTTCTTGGAATTTAGGTTTAAAACCCACAGTGGCCCTGTGTCAACAAAAGTGTAGACGGACGGGGACTCTGGAGAGCAATTATTGTTCAAGTAACTTTGGTAAGAAATAAAACGCCGCCTTTTCTCTTTAATCAGAAACTTGAGACTGCATGTTTAATCTCAAAGGAACTGCCATGAATGTGATGGTAAAGTGTCAGTTACACTCTTCATTTACCCAAGAAAAGATTTTCCTATACCCTAAGGTACGTTGACTAGTGCTGTTCAAAGTGTTAGATTTCACAGCTGAGACTAATATGTATACAGAAATTATGCTTTTTTTCACATAAACTTATCAGTTTGACTCCTGGAGTATGATACTGCTGCTCTGTGTATTCTGGCTGGCTCAGTGTTCCTGAAAAACCCTGTACACTTTTTCCTCACATATTTTTCATGTCCTGGGTATTTTTTCACACATCTGTAATTCCACTTAAGTAAATTAGAAACCAATCCAAGCTGGTCTTTCTCAGAAGAAATTCAAGTATTTCCTCTGTCATGTCCTTCCAAAGTACTAAGTTAAAACTTGGGAACCTGAAATCTCTTTGGAAATGCTTATAAATTAAAACCTGAGGAGATACTACCTAATGACTTAAAATTTCTAAGAGCTTTCTCCAATTTAAAAAAAAAAAAATGGCACTTTCTGTAAAAATCAACTGAAGAGCAAGAGATATCAAATTTAATTACGTGGGCTATTTTTAAAAGGAACATTGAAGAAAAGTCTTGTCAGGAAAAGTTGCTAAAACCTAAATACATTACCCAGAATGAAGGGTCTCCCAGAAAAGGCTTGGCCTGCTTTTTCTGTGCCTGAAGGTGGTGACTCTCTGCAGCCCAGACGAACTGTGTCGTAGCAAAGTTGTGAAGCACTGAAGTATCTAGGGCCCTAGACCTCACTGGGGTTTGCGTGCTGAAATTCAAATAACAGGCATAAAAATGAAAACAAACTGCTATCACATCCAGGTTAGTCTTCGGTGGGAGGTGCTTAAGGAAATCTCCCTCCATGTCCTATGGAGCCACCTGATTTCCCTTGGCTCTAGACTAACATTTTGCAGTGAACACTTACCACCAGGAATCAAAGTAAGGCATGGTAAGAATTCTGATTTTATGGATTTTGCCTGCTACATAAGCAGTGACTTCTCACTTTATCCTGAAGGGTCGGGTCAGCCAAGTCCAAAACTTGATTTATTCCACTGTGACTCTCTTACATGGCAAAATGACCAAATACTATCCCCAGTGGCCCACTGGTTCTCAGCCTGCATTGGTAACAGGGATAAGGCTCATAAAACATTCTCCCAATCCAAGTTCTGCACCACACAGAATTGTCACCCGCAAAATGCCAAAAGCATGTCTTTGAGAAATACAGCATCTTTCCTTCCATGGCTCCGAAGTAAGACTCTTACCTCTTACATCACAATGGAAGAAAGAGAGGGTTACATAATGAAAAGCAACTGAGTTTTGCTAGGGTTTTTTTGGTTGGTTGGTTGGTTGGTTTTTTTAAAGCAAGAAAATGTTACTTTGTTGAATGAGATATACAAGGTGGATAAGAAAGACTCAGAAAAACACAGATATTTACTGATAATTAGAGATGGGGACCCATGGGATGAACCCAAGTTGAAGGAGAGAGGGCAGCTAAACAGAAAGGGGGAAAGACACAGAAAGGTAGGCGCTCAAACACACAGAGAGGAAGACTCAGATCTTCATGGCTCAAACCCCTGTCATGCAACCTCAGTATCGTACTGTCTCTAAAAACTCAAGGTCTTACTGAGTATTCATAGGTAGAGGCTCATAAGCCTCTCCCTTACTTGGTAAACGGTCCCCGTGTTGGATAAAACGTTGTAAAGCATGCCCACCTCAGCAGCAGACTGCAGGGCAGGAGACATTTAGGTTTCTGTCCTGGGTATCAACACCTAATAGCCTGGGTAACATTATGGCTCCATGGCCTCTTTTTTTCCAACCTGAGTTTTGGGGACAAATGTGCAGAATCAAATCCGATAGCTCTATTAGGGCCTTCTCTTGAACATTAAAATGTTACCTATCTGAAACTTAGAAGAACGTACAGTTATTTTCAGTTCTGCCTGCGTTTGCCTTCATGGTCATATTATTTCCACATGTTTTCTTCGGCAGTATTGGCCGGCACCGTGATCACAGCTGTCACCCGAGGTGGAAGCTTGCATGCCACCGTCTCCATCATCAACATCTACAAAGAGGGAAATCTGGCAATTCAGCAGGCTGGCAAGAACATGAGTGCCAAGGTCATTGTGGTCTGCAAGCAGTGCCCTCTCCTCAGGAGAGGTGAGTATGGAGGAAAACGTTAGTCTTTCTTCTAGGGGAGTTCGAGGACAGGGAAGGAAACGAGAGAGAGAGTCCAAGCAAGTCTCGGATCTTTCCATGCCCTGGCTGAGCAAGGGAAGTGAGATCAGGCTTAATCTGTTGCCCACTTCTGGTGTAGAAGGCAGGCCTTTGGAGTCAGGCAGAATGGGGCTCTGGTCCCAGTTCTTGTAACTTGTGGCAGAAGATGAGAGAGTGGAAATGATGAAAGAGTCCAAGAAGCATTTGAATCTGGATCAACAAGGAACAGACATAGAGGAGCAGTTCAGGGGGAAAGAGATTTTCAGCTATTGCACTTAAGGGGCCCATGCAAGTTTAGAGGAAGATATTCAGCAAGGAGCAGGGAATTCAGAGCTGAAGTTCAGAAGAGAGAGGTATATATGGACTAGAAGTAAAGATTTGGGAATCATTTGCAGATATAGAATCATCAAATCCACACATGGAAATCAGTTTAAGAGAAATTATGGAAAAGGGAAAGTTAAAAAAAGGAAAAAGTCCAGAGCCAGAGGTGCAGGATTTTTTTTAACAAGTTCTTTAACTTATAAAAGTAATGTATAGTCTATGGATTTTAAAAAGTTTAAGGAAGTAAAGAAGGAAATAAAATAAAAAGTGAAGCCCTTTCCCTTTCCCCAGAGATACCATGAAAAGTTCCTTCTAGAAAGTTTCTATCTATAGAAAGCACACATGTATGTACACAGACAAGTGAGATTTTGCTATAAGAGTCTGCAACTTCCCCCACATGATGTGTGTAGACATCTTTCCACAAACAGCACATATAGATAGATCTCTCTCACACACACACACACACACACACACAAGAGAGAGAGAGAGACAGAGAGAGACAGAGAGAGAGAGAGAATATTCACTTCAAGAAAAGCTTTACTATGCATTCAGATTGTTCAGAAAAGCCTGGAGGCTAGCAGCTTCACATTGAGTCTTCAGAGGGAATAGCAAAGGCTCTGTAAGAGCTAACACCTATCCCCCGAACTGCCGGGAGAAGCAGGTAACGTCCATGGAGAAACTTACTGCACGGTCTCACCACAATGCCGGCAGCCCAGCCTTGAGGAGGTGCCCACCTGCACAGCTCTCCAAGCTCACACAGGCTCAAGGTCACTGAGGACAGTGTTAGCCCACAGAGGAAGGGTCAGGCTGGAGGAAAGGACAACATGTTATTTCTCTTATGACACACAGGAGAGAGGGAGAATAAAAGAGACGGTAATACACACCTCCTTTATGACATTTTTCTCAGACAGTGTAGATCTTCAGAGTTGAATCCAACATACGCTTAGCTTGGGCCCCAGTCTAGGCCTAACTTAGCCAGACACACTGTTATACAAAAAAGTGTGTCTCTGACAGAAGTACTTCTTGGTACCTATTTGTTGCAAGGAACTGTGAGAATGCAAATAGATGACGCACCCATGTCCTCAAGAAACTACCGTGGTATAAATGCTCGAGATGTTGAAAACAGTTCAAGTCGACCACAGCAGCAGAAGATAGCGGATCGTTAGTTGCCAAATGCCTGGGAATCCAGAAGCACTAGGGGACAATGAGAGGCCATCTGGGGATGACGTGTCCGGGAGCACGGAGGCCCCTTGAGGAAGGACAGCCTTCCACATGAACGCAGTGCACTGTGCACGGCAGACGCTCAGTCAGTCCCCCGGCCTACAGCACCGCAGAGCAGGGCGTGACCAGATCTCATCCCTCCATCCATCTTCCTAGTGGTGGCAGAGCTGGGATATGTTACTTAGTTGAATTCAGATTTTTTTCTAATGAGAGGCTTAAACCGGACTTTATCCTGGATAGACAAAATGTATAATTATACCATTTATAGATCATTTATCTAGAGGTAAGTCATAGTCTAGGTTGTATCAAAACAATAGACATAGAGGGGCTCCTGGGTGGCTCAGTCAGTGAAGCGTCTGCCTTCTGCTCAGGTCATGATCCCAGGGTCCTGGCATTGAGCCCCATGTCGGGCTCCCTGCTCGGCGGGAAGCCTGCTTCTCCCTCTCCCACTCCCCCCCGCCCCCCCGGCTCGTGTGTGCTCTCTCTCAAATAAATAAAATCTTTAAAAATAGTAATAAAAAGATAATACACAAAGAGAAAAAATTAATTTATATTCTCTTCTTTTTAGGTCTAAATTACATTATTATGGGCCAGGTGGGTGAAGACGGGCGAGGCAAAATCATGCCAAACAGCTTTATCATGATGTTCAAGACCAAGAATCAGAAGCTCTTGGATGCCTTGAAAGACAAGCAATGTTAATAGTGAACTGTGTCAATTTAAGTTGCATTCTGCCATTGCCTTTGAAAGATCTATATTTTTCTCTGTAGAAAAAAAAATCTTATATTAAATATTGAGCATTCAGAAAGATTTACTCTTCACATGATGTAGGTATGAGACCTCCAATATCGCTGGTGGAAGTTCTGTGTCTGCACCGAGAGGAACAGATGCGTGATTGAAAACCTGCAGACTTAGTGCGGCGACAGGGAACTGAATGTATCAAGCGTTCTCAGTGTGGAAGCAGTTTATTTATACATCTCTGTAAAAGGGTATTTTAGGAATCAGTTGTGTGAAGATGTAAAAAAGATTTTATAAGTGCAATATTTATAGTGATATTTGTTTTACCTTTAAGCATTTGCTCTGAGGTGTTATATTCTTCTCTTGCATTTTTTTAAGTCAGTGCTTAATAAAATATTTTTAAATGATTACATAGCAGCCATTAAACTTGTTTTTATAGAAAATGGGACACTGTAAAAAGGATCTTCCCTGCTTTTTGCATATCAATTTGGCATCAGTTTACACTTTGCTGAAAGAGTTAGCATTCCAAGAACTTCAGGGACGGGATGGACCCAGTGATGTAAGTAGACTATAATTCTCTGGAGAATCAGAGAACGTTAGTGTTAGAATGGCATCCCTCAGGGATCTAGTTCAACTCCTTCATTTTGTAACATAAACTGAAGCTCGGGTCTATTCAGTGACTCATCTAGAGCACACATCTCCCAAGAGACCCAGCTGGCACTCAAGCTCAGAAGTCCTGACTCCAACCCAGTGCCCTCCCTGCCACTGGAAGAGGCCCTCCCTGCCCCAGAGGAAAACCCTCTTAGCCTGACTTTGCAGCATTGGCTCTTTGTTTCCTTTGCAGCCTAAATCACCATCGGTCGTTTTATAGGACTTGAAATTAGAGGTCAGTCTGATGCCCTGGTCCTGTTCCTCCCCACTTAACTGGATCAGGCTGCATCAGCTAGGATGCTTTCTGCTATGGCCTTTGAGGAATCAGTTTTCACTCAGTGGTGGAGGAACTGTGAAGGAACTCCCCACCTCTGCACACAGCTGTTTAATCTGCAACGGCTGTGGCAACCGGCCCTCAGGAGTTTGCCGGCCAGCAGCTGTGGAAGAGTGGGCAACCATCCCTGTCTGAGGAAGGGGGGGAAGCACATCAGGGATGAACAAAGACTTGGGTCACAAGGTCTCTCATGGTAGAACCAAAGGTTTAGAAATAAGGAAAATTTCTTTTGGGTAAAAATCATTCTCAGCCCTAGAAGTGACCAGACATTCAAAAGGCAAAAAAATAATTTCAAAAGGAAGAATCCCTCTGTTTTGGCAGCTGAGCACAAGCAAGCCATGAATGTGGGCTGGTTGTGGGGTCAGGAATCATTCCTAACCTCTCCCACTGGGCTGCCCCCGTCAGTACCAGAGAATTCAGCAGCTGAGAAAGTGGATGAACGGCAGGAGTTGATGGTTGACTTTGCTGGCCAGTGCCTCCTTTTAGAAAGGCCCCCCACAAGGCACAGCTGTGCACAGCCAGGATGTAACTGTGGAATCCTGACTGATTCTAACCTTCTCAAGGCAGGGGAGTTCCTTTCAAGAACGCATGTTATGAGACTTTGCAATGATTACCAAAGATTTCAGTATTTGGGGGGCACCTGGCTGGCTCAGCCAGTAGAACGTGCGACTCTTCATCTCTTGAACAGGAGTTTGAGATGACTCGTTGAGAGTGTATGTGGTGTGGGGTGTGTGGTGTGGGGATTACTTAAAAAAAAAAAAAGTTGTATTTCTTCTCCTTCTCTTCTAATTGGTGCATTACCAGCAGAAAGACTGCCATTTGTGGCTGGGCGGGTGCCTGAGTCACAGTGAGGTAAAAATTGGGAAAAGTAATCCAAACTATTTATACCATTGACATCTCTGACACAAGACTTTGAACTGTTGAGGGAATCAGTGGTTAATAATGAATGGCACTGGTTTGTCTTTTAATTCAATTATTCAAAACGGAGATAAGCTGAATAGTGACCTTGCTCTTTTTGGTCCAACAACCATTTCTTAATTTCTTTCTTGTTTAATAAATCACTTACTTTGACTGAACTTGAGTTTCCTTAGTTATAAATTGAAGGAGTTAGATTAGATGACTTCTGGGAATTATTTCTTTTTCAGGAATTTTTTTTTCTTTAATTTTATTTTTTTCAAAGTGCAATTGACTAAGTTTTGTTTTTGTTTTTAGTACTTGTACTTGGGGACACAAATACACTGGATGAACAAATGGGTGACCATACTAATACATCATAAAATATTTCCAGACTCTCTGATGTGTTTCAGGGGGTCCTGTTAGCTTAATTTTCATCCTTTGAATTCAATTCCTATAATAAAAATATATGAATTTTGCAAAGTTTCCAAATCTTAAATTCTGTTATATAACTTATTTAGTCAAAGGTTAACCTTAGTTGAAGAAATTTACCTTCTTTTTTTTCTTTCCATAGGAAAGGGCAGCCAGGCTCCCACTCTATCTTCTGGACTGCTTTAGTGAAAGAAACTAATAACAAAGATCTTCTTTAAAGAAGAGCCTTATAATAAAACAGCTGAAGGGGGAGCGCCTGGGTGGTGCAGTCAGTTGAGCGTTGGACTCTTGATTTCGGCTGAGGTCATGATCTCAGGGTCATGGGATCAAGCCTGGTGTAGGGGCTCCACGCTCAGTGAGGAGTCTGCTTGGGATTCTCTCTCCCTCTCCATCTGCCCCTCCCCCCCTACACTTGCTGAAGCGCTCTCTCTCAAATAAATAAATAAATCTTAAAATAAATAAATAAAATGTAAAAAGAGCTACTGATTAGTAATTCTAACGTGAGTTAAGTAATATTATGCAGAAATTCCATTGGCTTGAATTCATGGATATATTTATATAAGTGCAAACAAACAAATTTGCAGGAAAAAAATTCAAGTAGAAAACATTTAAAGAAGGCGGGGGAGGGGGAGCTTGCCCTAAGTGTTCTAAGGTCCTTTAATTAGAGAGAGAAGGATAAAAATACTAATTTAGAACTTTGATACCTCAAGCCTTTACATTAAAATATCTGGGGTAACTATAAAAGGATACAGAGTTTGAAATTTTACTTTATTTTATTTTTTTTTAAGATTTTATTTATTTATTTGACAGAGAGAGACACAGCGAGAGAGGGAACACAAGCAGGGGGAGTGGGAGAGGGAGAAGCAGGCTTCCTGCTGAGCAGGGTACCTGATGCAGGGCTCGATCCCAGGACCCCGGGATCATGACCTGAGCCCAAGGCAGACATGCCCAAAGACTGAGCCACCCAGGTGCCCCCAAAGTTTGAAATTTTAAAAACTAGCAGAGAAGGTAAATAGATTTGAAAACTTAGATGAAATGGACAAACTGCTAAACTGTACTTACCAACTCAGACTCAAGTAGAAACAGAATACCTAAATAGTCCTATAACCATTAAAGAAATTCAAACAGTAATTAAAACTTTCTTCAAATAAAATTCCAGGTCCAGATAGTTTGACTTAGGAGGTCTACCAAATATCGAAGGGACAAATACTACCAATCTAACACATACTATTCTAAAATAGAAATAAAGAAGTAACATTAAGCAATTCTTTTTGTGAGATTAGTGGAATCTTAATACCAAAATTTCAGCAAACATAGGATCCAGTCTGATCTCACTTATGAACATAGGTACAAAAACAAAATAATTATCAGACAAAATCCAACAAACAAAAGAAGTCATGATCAAGTTGGATTTATCCCAGAAATGCATGATTGATTTAACATCAAGAAATCAATGTTCATACTTCACTGCATTCCTAGATCTGCACAATGCCAGCTAGGCAGTTGTAGGCGCAACTAAACATTCAGACTCATGAGTACCACAGGCCTCTCTCACTACCAGTAATATCCCCAGAGCTGTAGAACAAGGACCAGAGCTTAACAGGATAGGGCCAGACTGGGAGCAGTTCACACAGCCATCCATGAGCTGTTTTCTTTGGCCTTCCCAGATAATGTCTCAGATGCCAGGGGCCTCGATTCATGTCAGGTGGGTGCAGACGCTCCACCTTAAAGTTTCCATTTCCTCGGAAACCAGATCTCTTGTATGAACTCCATAGGCATAGTAGCTTCCAGGTTCCTCCTTCATGACATGCCTCATTATAAGAGTTACACACTCAGGAAAACCCAAAGCTGTGGCTCCCCTATCAGGTATTTAGAGCTCCATTATAGTCCCTCCCAATCCAATGCAATTTACCAATCAGGGTTCATTTACACCACAAGCAAGTTCGCCTAGCAACATAGTAGACATACTGTACTATCAGATTACTAGGTAAATGAAGCTGGAGTCAAAGGTCGTGGACTCAACAGAACGGGGAAAGTTTCTGTTAAGCCCTATTCGCAATACATGTAAGGAGAAAAATCATTTGATCTTAATAATGCAGAAAAGCATTTGATATAATCCAACATTTATTCATGACAAAATAAACCTTGAGGAAACTAAAAATAGAAAGCTTCCTTAAGCTGACAAAAAAAAAAAAAAAAACCTGCAGCAAATGGTGACATTACTGCAAGCATTTTATTTTATTTTATTTATTTATTTTTTTTTAAAGATTTTATTTATCTGAGAGAGAGAGAGCATGAGCAGGAGAGGGGCAGAGGGAGAAGGAGAAGCAGACTCCCCACTAAGCAGAGGGCCCGACGCGGGGCTCGATCCCAGGACCCTGAGACCATGACCTGAGTCGAAGGCAGACGCTTAACCAACTGAGCCACCCAGGCGCCCCTACTGCAAGCATTTTAAAGTCATGGATAAGATAAAAATGCCTGAAGTCAACATTTCTATTAAAAATTGCACTGGTGGGTCTAGTTAATGTAGTAAGGAAAGAAAAAGAAATAAATGATATTGGACAGGAAGAAATGACTGTTACAATGCAAAGATGATATGATAATTCAACTAGAAAAGCCAAAACACCTGCAGGTGAGTTGCTAGAATTAATAGAGTCTTACCAATTTGTTCCTTAGATGTATATATAAGCTCTACTCCAAGGACAAAATATTTTTAAAAATCTTTTATAATTAAGCATCTTGAATTAAATATGTGAGGGCCATGATTCACACGCTAAGAGCCTCTTTTTAACATAGGGCCTAAGGAAGTACAAGTGTGGGAGTGTACATGGATGTACAGAATTGGGTATTCGAAGTAGCTCTGGGATGTACACAGAAATTTGTTCTGGATAATTTTGACGTTGTTATTTAAAATCCTAACTTTTAAGTCATGGGGATGAAAGGTACAGCATGGGGAATATAATCAACGGTACTGTAAGAGTGTTGTGTGGTGACAGATGGGAGCTACACTTGGGGTGAGCACAGCATAATGAATAAACTTCTTGAATCACTATGTTGTACACCAGAAACTAATGTAACCTTGTGTGTCAGTTATTCTTCAATGAAAAACA